CGACCTCCCCACTCGGATTTTCCTCCGCCGACGCGCTGCTTCGGCCAGCGTCCACCTCGCTGGAGATCTGGGTGCTTCCCGCCTGAGGGGACCGCTCCCTCGGCAGGCAATGTGTAGAGGCCTTCTAGAGAGGGTCGGGAGGGTCGGGTTAGATGGGGTCGGAGAGTCGCGCCGCACCGCCGATGCATCGGCGGTGTACTGACGATGCACTTGCGATGCATCGCCGACGTCGGCGATGCATCGGTGACTTCGGCGTGGAGGAAATCGGGCGCCGCATCGAGCCGCATCGTCGATGCATCGGCGATGCGGAGCGATCCTCCGACCCCGTCTACTCCGACCCCATCTGGGAGGCCCAGAATCTAGCAGCCCGCAGGCGAGGCGAGACGCGGGGAGGTCCGGGTCTGTCAGCAGCGCCGCTGCCGTGGCGGTGGCCACCGCGTCGCCTGGCTTCGCCACCTCTCGCGGGGAGGCGGGCGCAGCAGAGCCTCTTACCCCGCGCTGCCCCGAGAGGGGAACGACGGGGGGCGACGGGCTCCCCCGGGGGGGGGGGGGACATCGAGCTGGAATCGGCGGTACGGCCCCCGCCAGGTCGGCGAGGTGCCCCCGATCGCACATCCGCACGCCGCACGATGCTGGGCGGGGGTGGGCTGTCGGGCCCCTGTCGGCGATGCGCTGGCGGCTGGGGGTCGACGCGTCCCCCCCCCCCCCCCTGGAGCCTGCTCCCTGCCCCAGTCGTTGGCCCTGCTGGGAAGGGGGTGCGAACGGCTCTGCGCTGCTCCGTCTCACTGCTGCGCGGGAGGAGGAGGAGGACGGGCAGACGGCAGGGTTGCCCCTGGATCCTAGATCCCCGCGGCATGGATCCAGCCCTTGGGGCACCCCAGCCTCTGGCGAGGGCAGCTGAACACTGCTTGTGTCGAAACGGCGCCGGCGGCTGATCACTGGTAATTGCGGTTCAATGCAGTGCGCCTGGCAAGTGTGCGACAACCACGGTTTCCTTAATGCAAGGGGGATGGTGCAAGTGCTCCTCGCAAGATCGATGTTGGCTGTTGGGGACGTGAAGAGGAAAGGATCACGATCACCACCACGATCTTCGGCATCATAGACATTGCCAACGAGCACAGCAACGCTTGCCTACACACCACCGTCTCAATGATTGTGCGGGGAACGCTGCTACAGTCTCCACCAGCTAGCACTAACGCTATATAGTATCCAAATTCGCATCACATGCTAAAATGCTCCTCAAACTCCTTGGCCACCCCTTTCTCCTTTCCCTTGGCGACAGAGTGGGTCAATCGACACCAAGTTGCATACGACGGGATCTTGGCAGCGGCGCCGACAGATGCAGACATGCAGGAAGACACCGTCGAGGAGGGAGACGAGGGGGCTGTACAACAGCCGCTGCCAGTGTACAGGCAGAGTCAGCAGCAGCCACAGCAGCACCAGTAGCCAGATCCGAATGGGCACCACCAGCAGCCTTTCCCTGCAGGTGCGCTTCCAGACTTGGCAGCTATGCAGAGGCAGATTGCCACGCTTACGGCGTCCGTGTCAGCATACCAGCAGCAGATGGCATCGGTCCAGGGCAAGCACGACGCCTTGGTCCCTTCTCTGCGCCCCCCAGACCAGAAAAACAACGCATACACAGTGTTTGGCGCCCTCGGTGCAAGGAAACCCTGTGTACTGTTGGTGCTTCTGTTTTTTTGGTCTGGGATGCAAGGAAGCACTGTGTATGCTTGTTATTCCTTTTGTTGGTTGTGCATGCCCCAGTGCTCGATCGGGCCTCCCTCCCAGCACCCTCTCTCTCTCTGCTCCCAAAAAGCACAAAACAAAAAACAGCACTGTGCTTCGTTGTTTCACATACCAAACAACCCAACCACACCAAGCATACACAGCATTTCCTTGCACTGAAGGCGCCAAACGCTGTGCACGATCGCTTTCTGTTTGGTTTTGGGAGGGTAGAGGGGGGGGTTTGGTTTTCCTCCTCCTCCTCCTACTCAACCGCCTCTTCGTCCTTTTCCTCCGTCTCCGCCTCCTCCTCCTCAACTCCCTCCGCCTCCTCCTCTTCCTCCTCCTCCTGCTCCTCCTCTTCCTCCTCCTTATCATTCTCATCCTCATCCCCACCAGCATCACCATCAACAACGTCATCAACAGCAGTATCATTCTCATCATCGTCCCCATCACCATCACCAGCACCCTCAGAATCATCACCAACAACAACAGCATCATCATCAGCATCGGATTCGTCGTCATCGTTACCAACATTATATTAATCGTCCAGGTTGTCACCGCCATCCCCAACGTCACTAGCACAGATCAGCAGAACACTGTCAATTCCAACATCACCATCATCATCATCGTCATCATCATCGCCGTCATCAGCATCACCACCATCATCGCCATCAGCATGAGCATCATCATCATCATCACGATCATCAGCATCATCATCATCACGGCGCCCCCCATCCCCCCCCCACACACCATCCCATCCTCACGCCAAACCCCC